CTTATTTTTGCAGTCCACTTGTGTTCTTAAAAAATTGACTTTATTGAGACATAAATGCATAAAAATTTCTCACACACACACACACACACACACACACACACACACACACACACACACACTGTCACTGGCATGTGAGGATTGGCATCAGGCTGCCACAGCCAAGGGAGCTACCAGAAGCAAAGAAAGAAGCCTGGAGCAGAACTTCTCTTACAGCCCTCAGAAGGGACCAAACCTGCCAGCACATTGATTTGGACTCCTGGCCTCTAGGACCACGAGACACACGCAGTGCTCTATCCTGGCAGCCCTGCTCCCCTCGGTCTCTGCAGCAGCAGTCTGCAGGGGCAGAGGAGGGGAGGCTGGTGTGTGCAGCCCAGGCCGTGGCTGGGCTTCTGAGCTGGTGTGTTGGGGTGCATGGCGTGTGGGGGGGGAGGCAGCACCCTTGAACTCACAAGACGCTGGGGCCTCTGGTCCCCCCGAAGGCTTCGTTGTGCATCTTCTCCAGGTGTACATTTCCTTTTAGCTCCCTGCGGGAAGGACAGTTTCTCAGTGGGGTTTGCACCTTCCCTGTAAGCATTCACTGCTAAGCGCGCACATTTCGGACCTCCCTAAGTGCAGAGTGGGCAGGGCAGAGGCGGACGGGCAGGGGCTGTAGGGAAAGCAGAGGTACACTAGTCCTTGGTGAGATCGCCAGGATGTGCATCTCTGCGCCTCCCCCGTGCTTGGAGGAACCCCTGTCCTGCGGCTTAAAGAGCTTCGCCGTCCTGGATTCAGGAGGGCTGCAGCTCCCGCTGCGGAGGAGGAAGGCGCTGCTCCAGCTGGCCAAGGCTGAAGGGTACAAGTGCAGCCTGCTCTGTACCAGACTCTGGGCTGCAGTGACCTTGGAGGTCTCAGAGTTTGCTCGAGTATACAATACTGCCGTTTGCAAAAGTTAAGCAAAGGCAAGGCAGGGTCCTTTGGAAGCTCTTCTTTTCATGCTATAATCTGCCCTCTTTTCCTTTTGCTTTTTTTGTTTATTTTTTTTTTCCCGGCACCGGGAATCGAACTCACGACCTTGCGCTTGCCAGGCAGGCGCTGTGCCTCTGAGCCAAATCCCCAGCCTCCCTCTTTTCCTTTTGGACGTGTGTTTCCTGTGGGTGAGCAGGGGAGGCGCCGCCTGGGTAGACATGGGGCTGTGTAGCGCGATGATCTGCCAGGTACGTGTGTTATGGAGACCAAAGTGCTGAAGGCCGCTACTCCAGGGCGTGGATGAACCCAGCACTGCTTTGGCAGGAGCTACCGAGGCCCTTTGCTTCTGTGTTTCTGGCTCAGCACAGCTCAGCCTGGCCTCCTGCGGTGCTGTTCTTTGCAAGCCCAGACCCTTCTCTGGGCGAACGAAGGACCGAGACGTCCCTGGGCTCGGGCTGCCAGCCTCCTTTGAGCACGTCCTTCTACAGGAGAAGGGCTGTGACAGCATTCTGGGGAAGCCTGACGGTGGGCACAGCGTCCGTGCGTGACACTGTGGGTGTGATGGTTTGTATCACAGGGACACGTGTCCTCCGCACAGTCACCCCAGTGTCACACGGGCAAACGGACACGCGGACGGCGGGGTGATCGCACCTCCTGACTGCCACCTGCGAGCCCCTGCATCGCGCCTGCGGTCAGGAGCAAGCCCCTGCGCCTCGCTCTGTGCGGCTGTTTCCCGCAGGCTTCTGCTCAGCCGCTTCCCCGGAAACCCCGGCCCTTCGGGCAGACGCACCCTTGTTCTCACGGCCCCCTTTCCCTTGGATCCATCTCTGTTCCCAAGGAGACAGGGGGGAGGGGTGGGTGGGGGGTCAGAGTCAGCTGTTTAAAACCTGAGCAAGGAGACATTTTCCCCTTAAACCCGCATGGCTCCTCCCCTAACGCAGTCTGTTTTCACTGCGGGCGGTTACAGTTACAGATCACTCACACTGAACCGGTGAGCACATCCGCCTCACGCCAGCAGGGGCAAGCTCACTGTCGGAATTCCACGGAGGAGCATCTCACGCCTTCTTAGTAAAATGTGCATCTCTCCGTGCCCCGGCAACTGCGTCCTACTCCTTGAGCACGTTTTCTAACGGTCACTTCTGAGATTTCTCCCAAGTGATGCGCCCTTACGCCGTGAGAAGCAGAGGGCGGCAGGACGATGTTTTGGGGCACAGGCTGCTAACCAGGTGCCGCCCTCTCTTCCCTGCCCACCCTTGGGGCAGGTGTTGGGGCATTTGTAGAGGGTCCCTGCCATTGTTCTGGGCAACTCAGACCGGCCTGTCTGTGAGGAAGGTGCCAGAGACCGGGCTGGCGGTGTAGTCACAAAATTTTGTTTACCAGCTTGGAAGAGTCCTGCCTCTTCCTCATTTAAACTCTTTAGCGAATGTCTTTGCCCTCAAAAGAGAATGCAGACCCCTCCGTCTAGCCCCTCTGTGCCACAGGACTTGCTTCTGCTATGTGGTCAGCTTTACCTGGTTCCAGTCTTCCCTTACTGAAAACCTTCCATTTACAGGGGCTTCTCGTCCATTCCTGAACTTGCCAGCTTTTTTTCCCACCTCAGGACCTTTGCACATGCTGCTCTTGCCTTTGGTAATGTGTTTCTCCTCACTACTGTCACGGTGGACTCCTTGTGATCCTTCAGGCCCAGCCTAGCTATTATGTCCTCAGTGAAGTCACCTCAAGTGTCTTGCTCTTCTCGCTCACCCCGTACGCTCTCTGATCTCAGTGATGGGTGACTTCCTTCATGGCATATCACTATTTTTAATAATTTTACTTATCTGTTTACTTGATATTTTTTTTTGCCAATCTTGGCTAAAAAGAAACTTCATGAGATAGGGACCATGTCCACTCTATCATGCAAACCTGACACCTCCACGGTGCCTAAGATGTTAGTGGCGCTTAATAAATATTTATTGAATGAATACAGAAATAAAATTGATTTGTATTCTTGGCTAACTAATGTGTATTCTTGGTCTCCTCTTTCTTGCTATGAGATTTACGAGGATACAGAATTTTTACCAGTTGGACAGTGTCCGTTTTGGTCACTTTATAATAGCTGAGACCTTGCTGCCCACCCAGGTCCTTCCTCCTGCTCTGCCTTCCCTGGGTGAACTCTGTGGGTTTTTTTCCACCTCTGTTTTATTTTGCTCTGGCTTCTTTTCCTCATCTCTTGTTTTCCCCCGATATTATATTCAGTCTACCCTGCCCAGTGCCCCCGTCACAAAGGGCTTCAGCCCCTTCTCTGTTCAGAATCCCCCTGCATTGTGTCTGTACATTGTGCCCGCCCTGCCCCTTCCGGCCTCCGCTGTCCCTGCTAACGGGCCAACTTTCCTTCAACTTCATCCTGCACTTCCCACCCCAGAGCTTTCAATTGCTTCTCACTTCCTGCAGAAGGCAGCATTCTTTACCCTGCCACTGACGGCTCTGCCTGCTTTGACTTGAACTCACATCCAGAACTTTCCAAGAAGTTTCTGGAGGCCGGGCATCGTGGTGCACGCCTGTGATCTCAGCACTCAGGAGGCTGAGGCAGGAGGAGTGCTGCGAGTTCAAGGCCAGCCCTGGGCTACACAGGGGACCCTGTCTCAGACAACAACAACGACAACGACAATGACAACAACGACAAGAAAAAGGTTTTGGTCCACGGACACATCCCACAACTCCTTCTCCCAGCCATTCTTGCTGCCACCTGCCTGGAATGCATTTTCCTTCCATCTTCGCCTGTCTGAACTCCGCCTCCCCGCAAAGCCTGGCTCTCCTCACCCGCTTTCTGTAGCTCACTTCCTCCTGCCTGTGGCATCCCAGGGCACTTTGTCTCTCCCGGGGCTGGCCGTGTGCTTTGCCTTCCATTTAGTGACTACTTGGGGTACAGTTCATGGACAATTTGGAGATTCTCCTCCGAGGCTGAGAATTCCTGCTATGGAGACCCAGGCCTCGCCTTCATTTCCCTTGGAATACAGTGCAGTCTGCTTCTTCGAGCACAGCTGATGCTAGGCAAATACTTGTTGAATGAATAATTGAGTGAGACTTGTGGGAGTGATGGGCTGGGAGAGGCTATGAAAGCCTGAAGTTCGGCAGAGAGTCAGGATTCAACCGTGTGACCCCCTCGTGAACTCGGGGTTCTTGTTAATGAACCCTTCCTTGCATCCTCAGGTCAACAAGAAATGAGGGCAAATTTACTTTATGAGAGGAAGAACAAATTTCAAAAAGCTACCATTTCTCGAGTATGTGCTAAACCCTGTGGCTAGCTAAAACGACAATCTTGTTAAATTATTCATTCATTCACAACTATAAATTATAATAGTTAATAAAGGAATACCTAACATGCGCCAGGCACTGGGTTAAGTCCTGAGGATACAAAATAAACCTTTGCCTTTCATTGGGGTTTCCTCCAAACAAGCCTATTAGCAGCTTTACTTCATGAATGGGGACATTGAGGCTTAGGAAGGCTAAGTGACCGGCTCGAGGCCATTCCCTTGGAGAATCAGCAGGGTTGGAGTGTGAGGCCCAGTCCATCGCTACCCTTGGGCTTCTTCCCTTACCAACCAAACTGTGTGGCCCGGCGTCAGTAGAAAAGGGCCCTTGGTTCAAGATCTAAGTTTAGAATAATCGGTAGCTCATGCAGACTCGTGCTACTTAATTTCGGATCTGTAGGGTCAGCATCTCGAGGCACTTGTGCAAGGGGCGAGTTCTCAGGCCCTCCCCAGACCCCCGAATCAAAGCCTCTGGGGCCGGGGCCTGGGAAGTGTTGTTTTAAGAGACTGCAGGTCATGCTCATGTGTGTTAAGTCTGCAGAGGGCTAAAGCAGACCGTCATTTATACATTTCCTCGTTTTAAAGTCTTTTTTGTTTGTTTTCCTTTCTTTTGGCGTTAGCTGAGCTTTGCCTGAGCTCATAGGTTTTGTTATGCACACCTGTAGGTGCTGGGCACCTCACCCTGCCCTGGGCTGAGGGTGTCCCACGGCCCTACAAGCTTGGGAATGTGCCGCTGCTGAAGATGCCACGGAGAGAAGGAGAGGTCAGAAGAGCGAGGGCCGTCAGTGGGTGCGCCTCCCCGAGGTCAAGGCTGTCCTGCTGGGGGCTCCGTGGGTTGCACTGGAACACAGAGCCCCCTAGCCCGGGGAACAGGGGTGTCCTCCTTCCCTGCAAGCCAGTGGGAGGCAGGGGCCTCTTTTAGAGCCAGGCTGTGGTGGATGATTAGGCTGCTAAGTGGTGTCACCGGGTTTCTATGCAGCGGGACTCGGGGAAGATTTCTTTCTGAACTTTGCTGCCTCTGACACACCATCAGCCCGAGTGAGGGGCTGGTGCGGGGAGCTGGGAGCTGGAAGAGGCATGAAGTAGGGTGTTGAATATTTCAGCAAACTGTCAACTTCAATGCATCGCGGCTGCATCTGGCTTTGAAATCAGGGTGCTCTGGGGTTTCCAGCCAGCCGGTTGCCTAGTAACGTGCGGGCGACGCCGAGGACTAGCCACTTGAAAGTTTACTTCTGCCCTGAGTTGGTTGCTGAAGATTGAATATGATCTGGTAGCCAGAGACAGGCTTCATTTTTATTCATGAGCCGGGGAAATAAGCACATACTCACAGCGAGATGAGCGTCGTGCCGTTGAACGCGTGACTCTGTACCTCTTCGAATCCATTTCCGTAGAGTTTGCTGCAGGAGGAGGAGGGAGGCTTTAGGAACGGGAAGGAACCGGGAGAAGCAGTTTGGAAGCACACATTCATCCTCCTGCGACACTCATTACTGAGGTAATCACTGCATCTGGAACACCCAGGTCGGCTTCTCCAGCATCTTAGATCGCAAGGGCCCCCTGGCTGAAGCAGTTCTTTCTGCCCTGGTTTACCTCTACCTTCACCACCGCCACCACTACCAGTTTTTGAAGTGTCTATTATGTGCCGATACTAAATTTTCATGGTCATGGCCCTCCTCCACATGAAAGCGGAACCTCAGCTTGGCTGGGCGGAGTGGTCCTGCTCACCCTTCCCTCCAGCTCTGCGGCCCTGGCCGGCCTTGTGGGCTTTGGGGGCTGCTGAGGGCAGAACCAGCCCCAGGGTGGTGTCACCTGTTCCTTTTCTCAGGTGAGTATGTGGCTTTGCTGATGCCAAAGTTAGCTCCACGGCCAAGAAGACGGGAACGCCTGTAAACGGCCCACGAGTGGATGGATAGCGAGCTCAATTTAGGTGAGCACAACCATCATTTAAAAAAATAAAAGAGAGTAGACTAGACAAAGGAGAGTATTAGAGTAAACTGCAAGTAGTATTGATATTTATGAAAATTTACTTTCCTGCTTGTATATGGCATGTATATAAATACACACACACATACACATGTCCACACCCAGACACAGAGGCTCCTGGGAACACAGAGCTGGGGTGTGTTAGAGCTCAAAATAGGCCTGGAGAGGTTCAGGCAGCACCCTTTAATTTAAAGTAAAGAAGGAAAAATAGGCTTCGAGAAGGAAAGTGACTTGTCCGAAGCCCCTGGTGAGGAAGAACGGGCCAGAACACACTTTGTCTGGGGCTCCTTCTGGCACAGTTTTGCTGCTGGAGTTTAACTCCCGGAGCCCATGTCCCTGTGGGCTACCTACCGTCCTCCTGCAGGCTGGGTGCAAAGTCCTGTTCTCAGTGTGGCCTCCCTTGGCTGCCTCTTTAAGAATGCCAGCTTCCCATCCCCAACATCCCGCCTCCTTTCCCTGACTGTTTTTCCCTCTGTGGCAGTATCACCATCTGGCCCAGGATATTTCACGAGAGTACAAGTTTCATGAGAACAAGCTTTCACCCTGCTTTGCTCATCGCAGGCAGCTCCTGTTCTAGGACAGTGTGTGGCCCCCGGGTTTATTGTAAGCAAGGTATGTTAAACGAATGGGATGAGCAAATGGGTCCACGCAAGAAGAGAGTCTCATTATGTCACAGCCAGACAAATTTGAAGGGCACTGTCCTTCAGATAAATATCTGCGTGCGTTCTCTGTGAGCCTTGATGTCAGGTGGAAAAGGGTGTGGTGCAACACCTGGCCGGACCTGGCAAGACTCTGGCTTCCTCTGCAGAGCTGCTGGCAGCTACATGACCAACGCCAACCGAGGGACAGCGTGGGGCGTGACTTGAGATAGAGCTCAGGCACAGGCCGTGCTCCACCTGCTCCTGCTCCAGGGGACTGTTGTCCTGGGGTTACCCTAGTCTTTGTCAAATATAACAAACATGAACTTTCACCTCAAACTCCACGTGAATGTTCTAGCGTGTATGTGGGTAAAATTGTGTGTGTGAGAGCGTGTGCGCTCTTTCCATCAACCCACAGGACGCCTGAGACGAACCAGTCAATAGCCAGGAGGGCACTCAGGTTGAAGTATATTTGAACTATGAAATTTAGAAAATACAAATTAGAGGACAAGTGTATACCCGTCAGGTTGGGTAAATTATATACAACCTTCTTGCCTTCTTAGCAGCTCAGCCCCATGAAAGCTTTAAAAAATTTTACATTTATAGAATATTATTCTTTATCAATCTCCTGTCATTTGGGGGCTGGAATTCCTTTACAGAGATTACTCTTAGATGAAAGAATTATATGTGTGGTTTCTCTGAACTTTGAAATGTGAGGGCTTAGACTCTTGGCCAGTATGTATCAAAGCATTCTCCTCCACCCACTGAATCCGACCTGTTTGTCAGAAATGCAGAGCTGTGACCCCGGTACACCCTGGACCTGCCCTGGAATCTGGTGGTGGTGTCCAGGAAGAGACCTTTTCCCAACAAGGTCTCCAGGGCAGTGACAGGCACACCAGCTTGGGAATACTTGCCCAGTGGTAGACCCTAGTATGATGCAGTTCCTATTTCTGGGGCACAACTCAGATATCTTTTGCTCAAAATTCAGCTCAGAGTCCAGGCTCCTCCTTGCTGTCTCTACCTGCAAAGTGACGGGGTGTATCTCCTGTGGACCAAGGAAAAGCAGCCTCTCCTCGGTTTTTAGCAAAGCGGAACTGCCCGCCCTTGCCGGGTGCCCACGCCCCTCCACTACCGCGTTCTGCCCTGGTCCTGGTTTTCATGCATATTAGGGCTTGATTCCTTTTTGTTGGGCTCCTGATGCTGTTGCTTTTGAGTGCGGCCCTGTGGTGGAGCCTGCAGGTACGGACCCACCTGCCTGGGCCTGGACCCCAGCTCTGCTAAGCATGAACGCTGCTTTGGGCAGATTATTTAACTTTTCTGTGCCTCAATGTCTTAATCCAAAAATAGAGAAGATAATAATAGCATCAACCTCATGAAGCTATTTTGAGGATTAGCATGGTAAGTGTATGTTAAACACCGAGAAGCAGGCTTTGGAGCAGTCAATGCTCCACGTGTTGGCACTATCACATTATTGCCACATCTTGCGGTGGCCTCCCGCCTCTCTGATCTGAGCAGAGGAAAAGGGTCTCCCTTCCCGTGCTCTGGACAGGATCCCTGTGAACTGCGGGCCACCTCTCGCTGGGCTGCCTGTGTCCCCCACCGGGGCAGAGGCGCTGACCCCCGCCCCGCCCCCCGTGCTCCGTGAGGTCTCCACCCGCCGTGGCCTGTGCTAGCACTGTGGGTGTCTTTACATTTAGATGATTTTCAGGTCAGTTTATTATTTTTTATTCTGCTTTTTTAGTAGCCTGGGTCCTGCTCGTCCCAGTTTTCCAGAGACAGTGGCTCGCTGTTTCCTTCCTGGCTGTTCCTCCTCCTGCCCTTCCCAGGTGCACACAAAGCGATGCACTGCCTTGTTTTGGTTAAGAGAGCAGCTTCCTTGCTTTGGAGAAATCACCAGTGTGAGTGCAGACTCGTGCTGTCGGGCCCACACGCTGCTGAGAGCGGCCTCTGAAAACACCTGGACAGTCGCTTCTGATCCCTTCCCCCCGACCTCATGGTGTCTTTTGTTTTTTTTTTTTTTTTTTTTGGTTTTTGGTTTTTCTCCGGTACCGGGAACCGAACTCACGACCTTGCGCTTGCCAGGCAGGCGCTTTGCCGCTGAGCTAAATCCCCAGCCCCCCGACCTCATGGTGTCAAAAGGGAACAGGAGGCTCCCTTTGCTGCGAGGGTTCTGTCGTGGCACAGAAGCGCAGGGCCCCGGCCGCTCGGTCACGGTGACGGCCCCACGCCCGGCAGGCGTTGCCTAGCCTCTCTGTTCAGGTGTCAGTAATGGTGAGTCAAGCACAGAGAACGGCAGCTACCTATTCCAAACAGGATCTGGGCTTTAGAAATGAACCACGGATGACACCCCAGTTTGCAGCGCGGCCTTCTCACGAAGCACTTTTGGGCCTACGTGAACAAATTCTGCCACAGTTTCTTCCTGGATCACGTGCCCATCTAGTTTTTGATGATTTCACCGAAGAAAGATTAATTTATGTTTACAGATCTTCAAGGTCTCAGAACGTGGCTCTAATGAGGAAGGCAGTGCGTTTCAGAAAATGTACTCTCGGGTGGTGTATTTGTAAGCAAATTCTCATCAAATGGCTCTCTGCACGGCAGTGTGAAGACGAGGGGGTCTTACATTCATCACTGCCTTCCCCGGTTGGCCTGCTGCCCAAGCTTTTGTTTATATCTGAATCAATTCTTATGTATCGAGACAATTCCTTCGTAGATGTACGGACGGTGGTTATATGGGTATGTCCGCCCGGTCACTGCCGTGTGCTGCCCTGACCCCAGTTTGGAACGTACCTCAGGGGCTCTCATTTCATGGGTCTTAAATTTCCACAGCGAGGGCGCCCGTCCCTGACAGGGGTGGGCCTGCCGCCTTCCAGCACCGACTTTCCTGTTCCCCGCTACCTCAGCCAGGTGCATGTCAGCTTAAATGACTTCACCATACGTAGTAATAAAGAAAGTGACAGGTTTCAGAGAGAATGATGACAGTAATGGATTCTAATATATTGAATAACATTTTTGAGAAATTCACATTGTGTGGTGATACTTCAAAAAGAGAGCAGGAGGGGTGCAGATAAAGCAAACCTCATTTTTACAGAACCATTGGCTAGGACATGTAGAGGAATGACAGAACGTAAAAATCCCTGTTTGGGAAAAACTGATACTGAAAAGTTGCGGGTAACTGAACGTCACGTCAACTCAGAATGTCCTACCAGGGGCCCTTACAAGTGGCAAAGGGAAAGTTAGTCCTTTCATTAAGAGGTCTGGCAGTTAGCATCTTAGGCAAGTGGGACAGTGCCACATGATATACATGCAGGAGGCAGACAGAGAGGGAGAGACAGACAGACAGACAGACAGATGGCGTGGTCCTGTCCCAGTAGGGTTCTTGCGAGACCTCTGGCCTGAGTCCACGCACAGCGGTGCTGTCAGATGAATCCAGACCACTTCCCTGAGCTCCTCAGAGGATGCAGTGTCCTACGGAGCAGAGGAAGGCCAGGGGACAGGGCCAGGGGGTGTGGGAGGTGAGCTTGAGGGGATGAAGTCCCATAACTGCAAAAACGTGGTGCAGAAACTTTGATTAGCTACCTTGCTTTTAAACAAATCTATGGAAGACATTTGTATTTAAACATGGGCTGTAGGCCAGATATCATTGAATTCTTGTTGATTTTCTTGGGTGCAGGGTACTGTAGTTATGTAGAATGTCCCTGCAGGGGGAGACACATGCTGCATGTCACAATACCTGTGAAATTCTCTCGGATATTCTGGCAGAAGGGCAGTGTGTGTGTCTCATACGGAAACGGGACAGTGCAGTACCCTGTCAGGAAGTGCTGGTGGATTTAGGTAAGGCCCATAGACATGTGTACTGTACCGTTCTTTCTAATTGTCAGTGGAAAGGCAAATGCAAAGTCATTTGTCATTTAAAAATTTTTAAATAAAAAAATATTTAAGGCTGAGGATGTGGCTCAGTGGTAGAGTACTTGCCTAGCATGTGCAGGGCCCTGGCTTCAATCTCTAGTCCTTCAGAAAATAGATTGAAAAATTAAAAGCAGACAGTGAGATGCAGTGTTTTCAGAATGGCCTAACGCAGTGGACTTGCTCCAGGTTACACGAATTTTAGCCTTTCAGTGTGGTTCACTGTGATAACTGCATAACTGTGGTTGACACAATGTGGTTCGAACTGAATAAGGAGCCGTTTATAACTCTGATGAACGGACAGAAATAGAGGCGTCGCAGTGGCCTGATTTGACTAGGGCTGCTCAGCGGGTTACACACAGGATCAGGACAGAAACCCAGGCTTCCGTCTCAACGCCCCGCTATCTCTCACAGCACAGCCGAGCCACGTCATGGTTTGCTGGACACCCCTGCTCCAAAGGGTCTTAGAAGAGAAGTCGTCATGGCCGTTTCTGCCTTTGTGGAGTTCAGATATGAATCAAGGTTGTCCCTTTTCTGAGACTGCTCTGACCAGTCATCCAGAATGTGTCAAGGGTGGTGTAGGTGAGTGCTGCTCACCCAGGGGCGCATTTTAAGGCGGCCTCTTAAGGAGATTTAATGAAAAGCTAAAGTGGTGATAAAGGGACTTAAGAGTATAATGTGCAGCTTCAGCATGAGCCCCATTGAGCTTCCCCTGCATCCAGTGAGGTGTTTTGTTTTCATTAAATGAGCTCACAGTTGGTAAAGATTTTGGTAGAGGGAGGGCAAGACAGGCTCCATTAAAAGTGAAATTTCGAACACTGCTAGTAATGGAAAGAGAAGGCTTGCTTCCATTGTTTCCTCTCTAGGGGCACTGCCCTTTACGCAGCGGGGCGCGCCCCATGACCCTTCGCTCACAGAAGGGCCCATTTGGCTGGGAACGGCGCCAGGGAAATGAGGCAGGGGCCGGAGTGAGGAGGGGGCTGCAGGCAGCCCAGGGGCCCGCAGGCTCCCTGGAGGGCAGGGTGGGGCAACGGCGCCCACCACACGGCACAGCTGGCCTGGTTCCTCTTCAGAGTGTCACCAAGGGGAGCTACTGAGCCTGTGGCTGCTGTGCGGACACCGGAAATGCGATGCGTGAGGAAACGTCTTTGGTTTCCCCTTGAGTACCACAGGGAGCCCTGTCTTGGGAGCTCTCGGCCCTCAAGTCTGCCCTGTCACTTCTGTCTCACCCCATTCCCATCTCAGTACAGTTCCCGGGAGGAGTACCCCTGGGTCCTGAGCGTTTTAGATTTAGGTCAGAACTGACGGGAGTCTGGGGTATTTTGGTCTTTGAATAAAGGCTACTCATTGGGTGGTGTCTTCTTATTTTTTCAGAGTTTCCTCCAAGCTGTGTCCCTCTAGCTTGCCATTTAAGGCCCTGCAGTCCAGTGTGGCCTCCACCCTGGGCAGCATTTTACTCCCAGGAGCATTTTACTCCTCAGCCTGCTCCCCTCCTGCAGCTGCGTGGGTGTCACGCTGTCCCCACGAGGACCCCTGGCTTTGCTTTCCTGGTTTGTGGCACCACGTAATGATTAAGGATGGGCCGCTGCGGCCAACCTGCCTGCTTCCAAATCTTGGCCGTGGATAAACGCTTAACCTCTTGTTGCGCTGGTTTCCTCATTCAAATTAAGGCTAGAAGACCTCCCCAAATAAGGTTGCTGTGAGACTTAAATGAGTTCTTCAAACAGTGCAGGCCTTATATAAATACTAGCTGCTCTAAGCACATTCAGTCACACAAACGTTGCTTCCGACGTGGTGAGGTCCAGCTCAAGCCTCTGCTCCTCTACGCAGCCTCCTCTGACTTCCTCTGCCCAAGAGGCCTTGAGATCTTATTTCTGTGGAGCACACAATCTCACAGCAGATATCCACTGGCTGTGTGCTTTCAGTATTTCATGTCCCCCACACCCACTGTTATGGTTTATGTCTGTGTGTCCCCTCCAAAGCCTCATGCGACCATGGGGCAGGCTATTAGAGTTGAATGATTGTGGGTGTGAGAGCTATACCCGCCCTGGGGTGGATAGTTTGCATATGTAAGGGAGAGGAAAAGGGTGCTTGAGGACATTCCTCCCCCATTCCGCCCTGGTGTGTGCTTGCGGCTTAGCTGTGTTCTGCCACCCCAAGCGGTAGCTCTTTGCCATGTGCCACTCTGCCTTATAATCTGCCAGGTACGGACTGAAACTTCCACAAACTGTAAGCAAAATAAACCTTTCCTTCCTTCAATTTGGGCATCAGGTATTTTGTCCCAGCAGCGAGAAAAAAGTAACCAAGACACCCACCGAGAGTATGAGCTTCCAGAGGACGAGAAGATTACTGTTCGTCTGTTATATTTTCAGTGAAGACTGAGCAAGACTAAAGTTCCAGGGCGTGTGGTACCTCCTCTCTCAGAGCGTGTGCTGTGAATCCCCTGTGTCAGTGAAGGACACGGGGACACCGTCTGAATGCTTCCAGCTCTCTTAGGCAATGGTAAGCCGGAAACACTATAAGCAGCTGGCAGAGCATGGTGTGTGGGGGAGGAGGAAGGAATAGACTGTGGAGAAGAATGTGTAGGATCTACAGGGTCTCCTTCCCAGTGTTTAAGGGCTGCAGGTAGAGGATTAGAGCTATTTTGAAATTAATTTTGGTTGCTGCTGTGCATTCTTTTGATTGCACAAGTGTTGGGGCTATGTTAGTCACAGCTCTGTAACGTGACAATTATTCATGTAGAATTATATCGATATGAAGGAAAAATACTGCACGAATGCAGTGAGCCACTGATCCTCAATTTTTAGGAACCACTGACATAAAAGAGAGTCCTCCCAGAAGTTTTCTTCTCTTGCTTTACCTCTAGGACTTCATTTCAGGATTGTTTCAATCCATGTGATCACTTTTTCTCTTTTGGGGTGTTCCCTTTTCTCCCTCATCACAATCCAGCCCTGAGCTGGAGGCAGAACAGAAGGGGTGAGAGGGAAGTGGGGAGTAGAAGGGAATATGGTCACCAGGCTTCAGATATGAGTGAAGGAGGCATAGTGCCCAGGAGGCTGCATCTGAACGGTGGGGAAAGGAGGGCACCGAGGGCATCTTGCGTAAAGAGGGCCGGCCGGGGTTCTGGAGGGAAGGAAATCAGGCGGGCGCCCCACAGAGAGATTAGTACAGTGCCTGTCAGGCTTTGCTTTACCGTCAATCGCTTTGCATCCTGGGAAAATGCAGATTTTGAGTAAGTAAGTCCGGGATGGGTCTGAGAGTCCGCATTCCTAGTCGGCTCTCAGGACATGCTGGAGATGCTGGTTCGTGCGTCACACTTGAAACACTAAGTCCTAAGAAACACCCCGAAAAGGATGGGTTCTCCGGGCCTGGTGACCCGATGCAGGGCTGTCAGAATGGCATTATCCGGGGATAGAAGGAAAGGGCGTAAACAGTGCTGTCTCAGCGGGACCCAAAAGGAAGGTGACAGATCAGAGGCAGAGAGCGCAGCCTACTGAGGACCGACTCTACCCACCCTCCACATTCTTCAGTCCAAAGCTTAACATTTCTGTGCTCTTTTAAGGAGGCAGCGCTGCCCTGTAGGAATCATCCTAGCCTCAGAACACCCCATGGTACAGCCAAGTCTCACCAGTTGGAAATTCAGGACTAAAAAGCCTCAGGACCCATGCGATTCACTCCAAACTGCCTTAGGTGGTTAGTTGTTAACTGAGCACATGACACCGATGCTACTCCACTGAGCCCCTTCCATCCTAGGCATTTTAGGTCAACAAGAGCAATGTCACCCGCGAGCAAAGACTGCGGCCAGTGCTCTCCTCAAGCTGGAGGTGAGACTAGCAGGAGGCAGTGGCAGAAGGAGAAGCTGGGCGTCTACTCACAGTGTGATGGATTCGTTACTCATCCCTTGGCAAGCATTTCCCGGTATGGTGGTTATGTGTAAGTTATCACAAATTTCCCTCGAGGAAAGAGATTAGAAATATTTACTTTCCAAGTTTTAGCTGCAAACAGGAAACTGTGATGCATAGCAATCATCCTGGTACTTACAGAATGAAATTAAATTCCGATGAGAAGATCTTCGTAACATCTGGAAACGACCGGATGCCTGTGTTACAGATGCTCCTGCGATTTGGGGCAGGGTCGGTAAGAATGATTGTTATTAAGATGCAAAGATAAAAAGGAGTAAGAAGGCATTGTGCAAACACCATTTTCACACTAAATTTAAAAATACTGAGTTTGGCTTTATGGGTAACACTTTAAGCTGGTGGAGATGATCAGAACTGAAAGGCCATAACTACCGTGGAGAAGTTGCTCGTGGCTCTAATGGGTCCTATTTAGAGACCTGGGGCCTGGGGCCAAGCTTGCAGGTCTTTTACCTCTGAATTTCCAGCCTGTCTTTTCCTATTTACCCCACTGCATTTTCCCACTGTACTGTAGTCCATTCTTTCTGGTAAAGTTTATCCCAGCTCTTCATAGTTTTGGGAAACATCTCTCTCCTTTGGGGTGGGTTTTAACTCAGACACTTCAGAAAGACTAATCTCCTGGGAGAAATCCACTTCTGTCCTTACTAACAATCTTCCTTTATTTAGCTAATTTGCAATTCGGGAAGTTCTTCCTTGTATCTCACTGAAACCATGGAGCACTCTTTTGGTGTTTGGAGCTACCAAAGACTGTTCTTTTCTTTCTGCCTTTTTTTAATTTCCAAAGAAGAGAGAGGCGTAAGCGACAGGTGAAACTGAAGAGTGTTTTGTTACAAGAAGAGGTCTCCTTCAGGGAGCCCAGACACTCACTAGACATTGGCTCTGGACAACAGATTTGAACTGCTGTTAGCTGTAGACTTGATGAGGCGTCATGGGAAGAAAATAATGACTTAGTTTATACTGGCACAGTGCATACCTCAAGGCAGTACTTTAGGCTTTTCTCTTTTTTTTTCTTTGTTTTTTTCCGGTACCAGGACTCGAACTCATGACCTTGCACTTGCCAGGCAGGCGCTGAGCCGCTGAACTAAACCCCCAGCCCCTAGGGCTTTTCTCTTGATGAATGAATAAACAAATGAGATAGAGGAGACAGTAATTCTCAACCAGCGCTGATGGTCAACTCGGAACTACCTAGCCCTCCCGCTTCCATCTCCTACGCACTCACCTTAGAGCCTCTGATTTATGCTCTTGGAAGTGTCGTAACCTTGCCCCAGCCCTGCACCACTGTTAATTTTGAAAATCACTGCAGAGGATCACGTTCTTCTCAGGAGTTTGGGACAGAAACAGTGTTGTGAGCCACTCACCGCCACCATGTATGCAAAAGCACGCAGCAGGGTGGCTGACAAGAAACACAGAGCAAAGCAGAAGAGTCGGGCAGGCAGACGGTGCAGCCCATGCGGGTTACGGCACTCTCCTCAGCTTCTTAATGGTTTTGATTTTGCATCCCATGTCCACCTTCCCCTCCCCAAGTGTTTACAAGACAGTTCCTCACAGGTATTTTAACCGCGGGAGATGTGTAAATGCACCAGGCCCAATGTACACCAGGTTTTTGGTGTTCTGGATCAGTCTGTAAAGAGAGGAGGGAAAACAGGCAGCAGTTTAATAGGTGTGCATTGTTTGGAAGGCATGAGACTGGGATCACCAGAGATTGCGGCTGAAAACGCCATCGACAACATCCAGGAAATTTAATACACTTAAGGGGAGCTCCCGAAGGGCTGCGAGGGGAAATGGCTTATGAGGGTTCACTGGCTGTTTGTTTCTTTTTTTTTTTTTTTTTTTTTTGGTACCGGGAATCGAACTCAGGACCTTGCACTTGCCAGGCAGGCGCTTATGCTACTCAGCTATATCCCCGGTCCTCACTGGCTGTTTCTTGAAACTGCTCAAACCCTCTGAAGAGGCAGGTAGAGGCAGCCTAGCTGGAAATCTCTCTGTGCACACCTGACTGCAGCCCTCCCTTCGCGGTAGCCCCTACACCCAGGGTTCCTGGCTGAGTAGACCCTTTCCCAGGACGGAGCCTGCACAAATTAGCTTCTCTCCCTTGCAGGCAAACTAGTCCTCTCCACACTGAGCTGGCGACCACACTGAGCAATTATCCATGGAGGACCAGTCAGTGGACCAGCGCAGGGCGAAGGCCAGGGGTTTGGATTTCCATGTTTAGTCTATAGATAATTCGCTGTGTGATGATACCCAGGTTCCTAACTTCCTGGAGTGAGTGTTCCCTTCTGTAAAGTTTAAATGCAGTAATATTGTGAAGCTGGGCTTGGTGGCACACACCTGTAATCTCAGGAATCTGGGAGGCTGGGGCAGGAAGATTGCAAGTTCGAGCTCAGCCTGGGCAATTTAGTGACGGAACCAAACTATTTCAAGATTTTAAAAGAAGGATTTGAGATGTAGCTCAGTGTAAAGGACCCGAGTTCAATCCCTGGGACACAAAAAAGTATATATCTGAGTAAATAAATAAGTATGCTTCCTGTCCCACAGGATGGTAGGTTTCGGGCAATAGAATGGGCAGGGCTTCGTGAAGTGTAAACACACACCCACAACAGCACCGTGGCGTGTCCCCTCCCCCCACCCAGGCAGTGACTCTACCCTTTAAGGGCAGCCGGAGCTGCTGAGCCTCGTCTGCTTTGGACTCAGTAAAAGGCCGTGAATCCGTGTGGATTTCTTAGCCAGGCACCCACCACCAACCAGGGACATGATAATTACTCTTGTTCTATAGAAAAAATGCAGTGTGCTGGTTATGAACACACACTCTGCAGCCAGCTTGGTTTTGCATCTGGATTTGACCAGTCGCCTGACCTTGAGTATACCATGGAACACCTTCTGTGACTCAGTTTCCTCAGAGGGTTATTTTGAGGAGTACATGTGGGTGTCCAGTTGACGGTAGGCCTTAGCTGGCGTTAGTGATTATTATTACAGCTGAAGTCAGGAAGTTGAATAATTCAACTTTAGTCACACAGCTGCCAAGTAGCAGGACTTGAGTGCGACCCAACTTTTCCGACTTTGAGTCCAGCGCTCACTCCTCCATGCCACAGGTGCCCTCCCCAGGTTCCCGTTTCCACTTACAAGGTGGAAATTGGCATCTAATTCTTCAGATGCGAGTGCTATTCATGATAATAACTTTCAGTAGTGGAGTCAAGGAGTCACGGGCCATACTGGGCCTTATATCGGTGAGATGGGAGGGACTTTACTTCTTAAAGGACCTTACGGGGCCTGATCTTTCACTCATTCATCCCACAAACACTTACTGAGCACCTGCGTGTTCCAGACACTGTTCTACATACCTGTTACAGCTGTAAATGAAGCAAAGCACATCTGCATGAAGCAACCATTTGGGGCTGCTTTTGGGAACCCATAAACTTCCTCTTTAAAATGTTTATTTCTCTTTCTGTTGATAAATGCTGATTTGCATCACAGGAAATTTTATAATTAGCTGCCCTGGTAGTTCTCAATATAAAACTGTGTTTCCACGTTAGCTGGGAAGTCTATTAAAACTGCAGATTTCCATGTCTGTCATCTCTAACTGCAGCCAGCTTTGCGCACAGTTCTGCTTCACAGCCAAGTTCAGGCCGTACCTTTTGCAGTCAGTGCCCTTTGCTTGGGGTTTTACTGTAACTGGTGAGTTAGTCTCACCTCCCTAGCTTCACGGTCCTCTCCTGGTGGACATTTGTACTTTAGCTCCTCTGCATTCCAACAGCACTTGGCCTGGCACTGGAAGACAGTTGCTCAAATACTCATCAATTAATTATTTCCTTTAAATAATTACTCACTGGACCATTCACAGGGAGGCCTGGGGGTACAGCGGAAAACATATGGGCTTTGAAGGAAGATAGCCTCGGGGTTGAGCTCAGTCCTGCCAGTATCTGAAGTGTCACAGGTCAACCTGCAGCCCTTCTGCTGACCTCCATTCCTTCCTCTAGACCAAAAGGGGGCTATCCTACTCTGCAGAGTAGCTGTGGGGATAAATGGCACAACCTAGGGGAAATGCCAAGCACAAGAAGTCAAATGATATGTGTCACCGACATGCTTCCCTCCTCCCCTTTGACTCTCTTCAGCTGGAGAGTTTGAGGGCTCTTCCTACAGGTCAGGTCGGAGCCGGGAGGGGCAGACGTGGAAGTCAGTAATGCTGGCACTACCTTGTGGGATGCCAGGCAAGTCAGTTAGCCTCCGTAGGCCACAGGCTCATCGTCTGAAAATGGCACGGAGCCAATCTTTTTCTATCTTTTCATTGAAATAAGGGAAAATGATACTCTGGAAAAAGATTACTTGTCAGAGTCAGTTCTGGAGCATCATGGTAACACCATCAGGAAAACAAGTCTAACATACATAGGATCCGACAGGGATTTTCATGGTAGGTATCCAGGCAGCACTTACAGGGAGAAGAAACGTGCCATAACAGCCCCTAGCCAACCAATTCCTGATCTGTAAGCTCCATTCCAAATTTTCCAACTACCCTGAGTACTCCATACCTCCCCTCCATAAGGCAAGAGCTACTTGCCAGGACTTCACCATGTCAATTTTAATTTCCAACATTGTGTTGTGATGTTTCAGAGTTTATAGAGCTCCCAGGGAGAACCAGTTGTCACCATGGCAACCTTCAGGCCACTGCGGTGAGAGAAATTAGTGCCTGCCCAGACCTAGTAATTGCTGTAGTCTTTTCCTCTTGAGTTCCTAGTAGTGGATGCTTGAATACCAATACCAAGTGGGCACCAGCCAGTGAAGGTAATCGTGTACAGCCATAAACTATCTGTTAGTTGATGCTTACATTTCAGACAAATTGAGGAGGCTGTCAAAGGCATTAGCTTCTATCCTTTCCAGGGAATCACTCTGAGAGATTTCTCTGGGGGAGGGAGGAGAGAAAAAAAGAATAATGAAACATGAAAGAGATGACCGTGTCTGCGTGAGCACGAGCTGTATGTGTGACCCAGCAACTAGAGGCTTCATTGTGTCCCTCGAAAAAAGAACAGAATGTGCAAATTGTCCTTGCATCATAGAGTGGTGGCCTCTCCCTTCAGGAACACCGATGGGAGTCTGCAGCCCTGGCGGGCTGAGATGCACGTCTCAGGAACCCCTGGTGATGTGCTTGCTTCCTCTTGTTTATCCGTGCCTCCCAATCACAGACTGAGAGGTGGAGGGGCCCTTTGAGAAAACCTAGTCAGACTCCTTTGTTTTATCGCTCTAGAAATCAAAGACCAGACAAGAGAAACAAACAGTATTTGTATGAAGGCTCAGGACTGGAATTGGGATCTCTGGGTCAAAGTCCATCACTCTAAAGAAGCTTTAATTTGGTTAAGTGTTTTTTTTTGGTTTTTTTTTGAGATAGGGTCTCACCATGCAGTCCAGGCTGGCCTTGAACTCATGGCGATCCTCTTGCCTCAGCTCTCCGAGTGCTGGGATTACAGGCGTGCACCACCAGGCCTGGCTGGGAGGTTTAATTTGTGTTGAATCAATCTCTTCATCACTCTTAACCCTCTGTCTCCCCAAACCCTCTTCGGAGGCCGTTTTGTAGAAGGTGTACGAGGTGGTTAACCCCTGCATATATGCATCCATCATAGATTGTAATTATCCTCAACTGTTTTTCTCAAAACTCTAAGTAACTGAGGACAGCAAATATTTCCTATTTTCTTCTGAATTCAATTCCTGGTGGTCTCATAGTACCAGCTAGGGAGTGAATGGATGGACTAATGATTGTTGAAAAAGGTAAAGGAGCCATGTACTGGAACCTAATAACCTCAGTTAGTGTAAACATTATATCCCATCACATGAGCTACGATCAATATCAACAAGAATGAAGAAGGCGATGGGGGATTGGAGGAGAGAAGGAGGGGGAGGGGAGGGGAGAGGAGGAGACAAAACGAGAAACAACTTGTGCGTACGTGTCACCACTCCCCAACACGACTGCAAACTGCATGGATTGCAGACATGTACTAATAAAACATTTTAAACAATTTTTAAAAAGAGTAAAAACCTGAAATCTTAAAAAAAAGGAAGCAGCTTTGTCACGTATCATCCCCAAGCGTGTCGGTAATGACAGTGTTACTCTAAAATACTAACATAAGTTACCATTTGCCACCAGCTGAGAAAGAAGTCTCAAAATCACAAATTGTACATCTGTGTGTTTTTAAGGTTAATGTCCACCGAAGGCTTCAGACTTGTGAGAGCTTTAGCCCACAGAAAGGCAAAGCCTAAGGCAGTTAATGTCTTCTCTGCACAACACAGTAATGGATTGCTCCTGGGCTTGTGCAGCTTATTCCTACCTAGCTGTTTATTTAACTGTAGCAGTTTCCTTAGTAGGGAGTCTTCATGCATTAAAAGTTATCAAAACTCAACATCTAAACTTGAGAGCCGGCAGAAGAGCACAGGATAAGCTCAAGCAAATGGACATGTGTGTAATCTAGAGTGAATTTCCTATAAAGTGCAATATTCTTGAACAATTATTTTTACATATTCTCATTGCTTGCTGATACCTAAAGAGCAAAAGAGGTTCCCCAAGGAGCTAAGCTTGACAGCGTAGCATCTTTGGAGATGCAAATCTGCTTCAGAAGTCCAGTGGATTGTTCAATTTAGATGAAATGTTGCCACTGAATCCTTTGGCCCAGGCTAACATTAAAGAGGGTGCTGGGAAGTTCTCTCTCCATCTATGGGGTCTTTGATGCTAGAAGCTAAAACCAAGGACAAAGGATCGAAGTAGCATCTCACAAACATGAGAATGTGCTGCACTATCAGGGTGCTTTACCCTTCTGCTAAGTGCCTTTCATCAATACAGCTATAAATATTGTTTGGGGTACACTTATTACATTTTACATGCAAAGGTTATCTTCTGATACACAATAAGCTTCCAACACATTTTCTTCTGTGGAGAAGTTATCTAAAAATGTGCCCCTAGGGAATAGCTGCTCTAGCAGAAGGAGATTTTTTATGATTGAAATCTATCGTCTTTTCTACTTAAAAAGTATAACATCACTTATCAAATGCATTCAGTTCTTTGAAGCAAGGTTAATTATTTGGATTTTAATGACTCTTGGAAAATCACACCTTTTCTTCAAAGGCCCCTAGATATTATTTGTATTATAAAGATAAAAATACTCAGGTTTCCAAAGCACAATTCCTCTCCTGGAAAAATTACCCCTTTCAACTCTGTTTTCTTTTAGAAAAAAATTTCATTATTTCAATTATGAATGTCTTTTGATATGCAGTATCGTACTTACATTTGCATGACCTCATTAAGTCCTTTGAAAGCTTGAGGTGGAATTACTTTGACAGGGAGATAGGTGAGTGATCTAGAAAAGAAAAAAGGAAAGCTAAGAGTTTAAGGTTTA